CTCAACATGACTCTCCCAATGATCTGTGACAATCTCTTCAGAGCTTCTTAAGGAAGAAGGAAAAACAAGATCTTAAGAAAAAAAAAGCTAAAAAGCCAACAAAAATCTTGTTTTTACAGGGAAGATTTGATCTTTTCATACAAAGAAATATAACCCCAAACCAGTATAGCATCAGAAAAACTCCTGTTTCTAATCCCTGTTGCCTAGCAACCAAAGGCTTTCCCATCTAAGGTAGGGGAAGAGGTGGTGTGATAATTTTGCCTAATGCACTGGAGGATCATGAGCATTCATGTGTGCATATTCTTACAGTCTGTAAGGTTGTTTGATCACAGCTTCAAGACTGAATTATTTGATTTTTTAAAAAGCTATTAAAATATTGGCTTGCATCCTTTTAGGATGGAGTTTTAGGTGAAGTGTTCAATACATTCCCTTTCATTTAATTTTAGAGTTACCGGAACCTGTTCAGCAGAGTGCCACAAGCAGCACAGCTGGTCTCTGTGTTCTGCCACAAATAAAGCAACAGCTAAAGAATGAAGATTGTTACCATGGCAAACTGAACAGGAAAGCAGCAGAGAGCCTCTTAGTCAACGATGGGGATTTTCTGGTACGAGAGAGCACAACGTCACCTGGTCAGTATGTCCTCAGTGGACTTCAGGGAGGGCAGGCAAAACATCTACTCTTGGTGGATCCTGAGGGCAAGGTACGAATATTTCATATAATGAGATTTCAGTTCTGCTCGGATATTTCAGTCAAAATGCATGGGTGCATTCCACGGAGTGGAACTGATTTAATTCCCTCCAGATTAATTTAAATATAGGCAGTGGCTGCAGTAGGTTTGAAAGTTCAAAAACTTATAAGCACTGAAGTACCATGGAGGTAGCAGTGAGGAACTTTAATACTGTTAGTCCAGGTGCTGATAATTAGTGTATACACTTAACACAGCCTTTGAACCGTTAGTACTAGAAAAAAATAACCCTATCCTTAATTGTGAATTTCTGGATGCAGAAATGGTTTGATGTCACTTCAATTCTACTTTCTTCTGCTCGGGGTTAGAAGAGTGACATTTCAGAGGAGAGAGTAAATCAGAAAAGTAAACCTCAATGGGATTTAGGGAAAAATATGTATCTCTTCTGTGGAGAAAAGAAAAAGGTTCTTTCATTCCCCTGTGGAGAATCAGCCCAGTTTGACATACAGTCCCTTTACTTTTCCACTGCTTTTCATGTGAGCTGATGGTGGGTCAAAGGATAGGTCTGAATTGCTGTCTACAGCCTAATGATCCTGCTCAAGTGAGTTCAGTGGCTTAAGTGCCTTTTGACTTTAATGTGTTAGGCTCATGTCCAACCAGTTATAAGCACAGTCTAACCTTAAATACATTCTTTTGCTTCTTCCACTAGGTGAGAACCAAAGACCATATATTTGATAGTGTGGGGCATCTTATTCAGTATCACATGGAAAATAATTTGCCAATCATCTCTTCTGGAAGTGAAGTGAGCTTGAAGCAGCCTGTAAGGAAAGAGAGTAATATGGGACACATGCAGCATCACAAATAATCCCTTGGATCTCACAAATAACAAGACAATTCATACCTGAACTTTCTATTATGAAGACAAGTCAGAAAAGTATAGACTGCACTTTCTGCTGCTGTTCCAGAAGAAGCCCTTTTGTGTGTGTATGTATGAATATATGTATATATCTATGTAGATCTATAGAGATCAACAAGCATAGTTATATAGATACATATAATCTTAAAAAATTTACACCTTCAGAGTGTGAGATTCATTTGTGAGAAGGTATTTTAGACATGCACAAATGTCACTTTCAAGGTCATACTGAATCAGTAACTATTTAAAAGCACAATTAAAACTCTACATACAAAAGCTCACTTGAAAGAACTGCTGGAACATTAGTATGTGCCTTTTAGCATAGGATTATTGAAACCAATATTATTTATACTGACTTAGTTTTGGGTGGCTAAACAAACATGTCTAAGCTTTTAACTATTTGCCAAAAACAAGTACAATTTGAATATTACTAAAATGCCATCTTCTTTCAATAGACAGTAACAATTTCATTTTGCTTGTAACAGCACTTTACTAGCAAGTAACATTTATTTCAAATAAGTGAATGGCATTCACAATACAGAAAGGTTGTCCAGTTTCTTAATATTTTTTTGTCGCTGTCTGACTACTCAAATATTTGAGATTATGAGCATTTACAAAGTTGATATTAATATATGTAATATAATTTTGGAATAGAACTTGTTAAGGGACAAGCATGCTAGATCTTAATATTTTTGTCTTGCATATGATTTTACTATTATTATCAATTAATACTGGAAACATCTTTTTAAAGGTAGGCTAAATATATTTTCATTGATTATATAGTTGTTTACAAACTAGAAAAGCTGAACAAAATTAATGATACATTTGGGGAGAAAACTATTTAAAAGATGTTTGAACTTTGCATGTGTCCTTGTTCAGTGTTCTTTCCAAAACAAGATAGTTTTCCCCTCTTCACATCCATTTGTTCCTAAACATGGAAAAATCTTTTAGAAGAAATCTATTAATTGTTTTGCCACAATAAATACTCTAAACATGAACAATCCTATATTCAGAGTGAACAGTGATTTATTTGGCTTCCTGTTGAAGAAACACTGATTTAATAAGTGACTGAAGAAAGGCAGGGGTGATTTGGGGAATGAACTGGTAGTCCAGGTGATGGCCTGAGGGAAATTGTGCCTTTAAGACAAGCAATGTCCTCTGGCATGAACAGACATCATTCTCTCTGTCTCCCAGCCCACCAGCTCAGTTCCTATGGCAGACAATTGTTGTTGAGTTCAGCAGTTGCTGGAAATTTTGACGATAAAAAATTACATTCTGTTTGTTTGCCAGTGTTCATGGTAAATGGGACACTGTATCAGAAGCTCCTTCCTCTAGGAAACAAGAAATTATGCAAGACAAGCTTCTTTGGAGAGGAAAATATAATGTAAAGAGCCACACTTAGAGCCTACAAGAAAACATCTTTATTTTTATCCTCAGCTAATAGCCATAAAAATACATTTCATTCTTTGATAATAATATGATTAAACTACTCAGTTACATATACTGAAGCAGTGAGAAGCTTTAAAACATTAGCAGTTGATTTCCTTGCTAACAGTCTGGCATTTTTGATACCCTGAGCCTTCAGGGCCAGCAGCAAACATGCCCATTCTATCCTATGCAAGGTGCTCACCTGTGGAGGCCTCCAGCAAGAGTTCGTGCTGGAGCTTTGTGACATGGCAAGGACAGCTGGCAAGAAATGACTGAGATATCAACCCCCTGCATAATACCCTTTCTATTCTCACATCTTGTCAAACTTCAGGATGTGCTTGATACAGCTATGGAGCAAGAAATGAAGCAAACCCAGCTACTTCTGTGGCATGTCAAGTGGAGTACAGACCTGCTGGTTTGATTTTTGCATCAAAGCTGAGTTTTATGATGGGTCATAGAAAGAAAATGTGCAGAACTCCACCTCTATTTTTAGTGCAAATCAAAGTTACTCAGGACTTAAATAACAGCGTTTGGAGCTGTGATAGTATGAGATCAAAGTTTTGTGACTTTGACAGTCAAAAGATGCTGACTCAGGGACTTTTTTCACTTCATCAGTTTTCACTTTTACATAAGAACAACCAGAGCCAGTGTGTGATGTTTGGATCACAGTATAATGCAGTCTGAGTCTCTCTGTTTGAATATCACTATTGTAAAAAGACCTGAATCTTTGTTCTGATGCTCCTGCATATTTTTTCAGTTTCTGAAGCAGAACTGTGAAGTAAAAAGGAAGGAAGGGAGATAATTGGATGCTAGTGCAATAAAGAAGTATATCAAAATCTTTTCATGTGAGAGAAAGCAAATAATCCAACTAATTACAGATAAAAATCAAACACAATACATCCATGCATTTTCTTAGAATAAACTACATTCATTCTCAGTTTTTGGTTTCTAGCATTTACGTGCCTTCACTTAAGCTATTAATGTTGCTCTTATGGCCCAGCTGTCTCATGTTAAAGTACACTGTCAGCTTCTCTGTGGAGAATCATGCTAAAAAGAAAAATAGTTGTCTGAATTTTGGAAAGTTTCCAAAATATTGTTCTTGAGAAACTCAATATGAATTGTCAGACGCATTCAAACCCTTTTTTTGTTGTTGTTTGAGTCATTTCATTGATCAATCTCTGTTCGAATGGTTACTAGAATCCTCTGTGAAAAATGGCTGATTTCGCCTAAAATGTCACATTTACTAGACACAGCATGTTCGTTCCCTTTCAAACTTCTATAAATGTCACTGAAACACATGAACTGTTTGCTCCCATCAATAAAAATCCTCCAACAAATGACCCAAACGTCTGTGGCCCGGGGTCCTTTCGCGCTGCCCGGGCTGAGGGCGAGGCACCAGGTGGGGCTGTTACAAACGGAACCGACTCTTTGTCAGAACTGCTTCCTGTCCGCGACTCTGCGCAATAAATCTGCTCCTTCTGAGGAGGTTTTTATCTTTTAATGAGAATGAGCTCTCGAAGCAGAGCGGGTTCCCGAGCACCCAAGCGAAGGCTGCCCGGGGAAGGTGCTCGGACGGGAGAGGTCACGGCGCATCCCCTCAGCGTTATCGTGACACTGTCGTGAGGGGCGGCTCGCGGGCCCGTGACGTCACCCCCGCGGCCGCGCGTTGCCAGGCGACCGCCACGTCCCGCTGCGAGATGGCGCCGCTGCCCGCCCGCGGAAACCCCGCCCCTATGCATAACTCACACTGCCATTGGTCGTCTGACTGACCAATCAGATCGTCAGACGCGTTCCCGCGACCATGCGCGCCTGCTTTCAAACAATCAGTGGGCGGGCCTGCCCTCCCGCGCGGCTGGGCGGGCTCTGGTCGCCGGTTGGTGCCCGGGACTGTCAATCAGCGCGGCTCAGGGCGGTTCTGGCTGCCGGTTGGTGGCCGGGGCTGTCAATCAGCGGCGGCGGGCGCGGGCCGGGTGTAATGCGGAAAAGCGGCTAACCTGGCCCGGCGGTGGCTCCGGCGCCTCAGGTGGGTTTTGCTGTTCGGGCCGCGCTTTGCCGCCTTCTCCGGCCCTGCAGGCACCGCTGGAGCTGCACTGAATAACGGCAGCATCGCCCTCGCCAGCCCCGCGCCGCCGTCTGAGAGGGCTGAGGTGGCGGCGGCCGAGCTCGCCCCACGCCCCTGGAGCTGCCCCCGGCCCGTCCAGGTCCGGCTCTCCGAGCTCCGGCTCTCTGGGACTGGTCACGGCTCTGGCGGCTGTGCGCTCTCGTCCGGCTGCCTTCACTCCCGGAGCTGGGGAGGGCCCTAAGGAAAGGGGACAGGGCCGGTGGTCGTACGGCTGATGCGGTGTGGGGAAGGGGGTGCCTCAGAGCCTCCTGTGAGGGGTCACGGGGATTCCAGGGGGTGCACAGAGATAGGAGCAGCGCTGTGAGGCCTCCTGCCCGCTCTATTGCAGAGTTTCCTTGAACAGCAGCGGGAAAGAAGGTCCTTTAAACGTGGTGAAGCGACTTTTGACTTGGAAATAATGCTCTTGTAATGTTGCATTATACCAAGTGAAGACTTCGGTATGTGCTACACCTGTGTGCCCAAACAAGTGTCTCTTCAACAGCGAGTAACTTACCTTGTAACCAAAGGTGGACCTGCACTTATACACAGTAGCTTTCTGTGAGCACAATGCTCAGTGTAGACAAACCTTTGGGAGTCATCAAGACTCCTCCTTAAAGAGTGGAGTCTGGAACGGATGAGATATTTTTCAGATTTCCATGATACTTTTCCTATTTTTCATTTTGGACCTGTTATCTAAATGCACGAGAACCAGCATCCTTTCAGTTTTTAGTACGAAATGTAGTTATTTTCTGGAAGGCTACAAAGCAAGTTGCAGAAATGGGCATAATTATCATCATGTATCAAATCATATGTATACTGTACAGCATTAAAACTTGCATAAAATAATGTCTGGATGTAAGTGAACTTTAGAAATTATATAATGTCAGCCTATGAAAAACACAAATACTTGTTTTAAATGCTAAATTCTTGTGAGTAGGCCTGAGTATATGAGAAACAAGTAATGTGCAATGACTGTTGAAATAATTATATTTTCATGTTTTTGATTCCTCTTGTGTTTTACTCATGTGTGATGTTTTCCTGTCCTGTGGTAGGTTTTGCTGGGTACGCAAAATCGTTATTAGAAAACAATGTCCCTTGACTTTGATAGTGGAGCTCTACAAACTCAACATGAAGATGAAGACTATGACCAAGAAGATTATGCAAGAGAACAAGAGGTGAAAAAGAATTAAGTAATTTAATCTGAAGGCTTGTGACTTTAGCTTCTTCCTATCTTTTAAGTGCTTAAAAAGAAAGAAAAAGGTTTATGTAGTCTAGTAAGAGCAAAAGAAGGTGCAGACTGTGCCACTCTTGAAAAGCATAAGAAGTCTGGTTTGGGTGTGTTTTAGTTGTGGTGTTTTTCTTTGTTTGTGTCCAGTTGCTTTGTCCCGAGCAGAGCACTAATCATTGCAGTGATGGCTTCTTGAATGTAGTGATACTGACTCTCAAGTTCTTGTCTGGATTTCCATCCAGACTTCTCAGAGCATGTTTTGACTGTCCACTGCCTCTCTAGCCTGGAATTTAGCGAGGAGAAATCCTGGCATGATCAGTTTGCAGATGATTCTTTGAAATTAGTCTGTCCTGGGACATGTCTACTAGATGGCATTTCCCTTGCCTCTTCCTGGTGCAGCTCTTCTTAACAAGAGTTTGGCAGAAACATGCTTTATTGCTGCTATAGTCTAGTAAGCATTCTGTGGTATAAGTCTCTTTGTGAATTCTTCCTTGGAGGAAGAAAACCAGAATTTTGTGCAAGTGTCCTACTTTGCCAATGTTTTTGGACTGAACTTGTATTAATTTTCCTGAAGAGCGTATAATGAGTGTTGTTTATTCTATTTCAGTTGCAACAATTGTTGACAGACCTTCCCCATGATATGCTGGAGGACAGTGGAGACCAACTCTCCAGTTTCTCAGACTGCAGCATTCAGGAGACTGAGGAGCAGTAAGGCACATTATTATTTATGTTATGCTTTCAAGAATAGTCAAAGTCTGAGTTGATGAGGTGTGTAAAAGCAATCCAAGTAAAAAAGGGAGCTGTAGTTCAATTTGCAGTAAACTAGATGTGCCTTAATTTAAGAAAATATTGTTTGTTTGTTTTTTTTTTTCCTTGAAGTTATTAGTGCACAGTTAAGCTGCTTGTGTCTCTCTAGGTCACATGAGCCTGGGAAGCTTGATGGAAGGTGGAATGATCATCCACTGATCAGTGATCCTCCAAATGTAAGCTTGTATGAGCAGGAATGTAATTACTGCTTGTTCATAATAACATACTAAATATTATTTAAATTCATTAGAGAAATACCTGTAGGTGATGTGTTTTGGTATTAATTTGAAGTATTTCTCACTTGAGGACTGGTAATCTCAGAAAAAGGAGGGTAGGGTGAAATCTGAGTTTTGAGAGAGCAATTTTAAACCTCATATCCATTCATAGGGCTATGGACAAGGACAAAATCTCTACCCTGAATAATTCTTGTGTGATCAGCAAACTGATCACATTGAAAAACATGGGAAGAATTGGAATGGCCTACATAATGATGAAGAGAAGAAACATTTTTATGATGTTAAAGAAGATTACTGTGGCTAGGATGGCCAAGATGATCCAGATGATATGTATTTTGGTAGAGATGGGCTTAAGTCTCCAAGTTACTACCAAGAGAACAATGTGTATCATCTTCCTGAAAACTTCAGACCTTATACAAATGGCCATAAACCAGAATTTAACAATCAGCAAAATGAAATAATAAATTTTAAGGTATTTTAGAAGCTGACACGTTTTTCTGTCTCTTGGAAAATTTTCACAGGTTGTTAACTATTGGTAGTAATATTTCCAAATATCTTCATTCTCTTACAATCAGTTGAAACTGATGAGAGTCTTCTTTAGCTTATTTTAAAAAATGAGACTAATAATTTAGTTAATAGCTAAATTTTCATATGTTCATGTTCTGATTTTTTTTTCTCTTGTTCCCTTGGTAGAATTGCATGAGGTAGAATGAATGTGGTTCACTTAAGTGTGTGCTTACTCTATTTAAGTTAACACTTCACTCCTTTTCTAAGGTGGAAGCTTTCATGAAAAATGAATGCTTAAATGGTGTGCTGGATTGGAGCCTGAAAATGAAGAGCTGCTAGAACTCTTCTTAATGTCAACGTGTAAAATGAAAAATATTTTCACTGAGCAAGACTACAGTTGTTGTTTTAATTTGTTTCTTCTTATGTATATATTGTCACAACAGCAATTTCTTACATCTGATCTTGTCAATGGCCAATCACCAGAATCTTACAAAGTGACTTATAAACCATACCAAAATGGCATTCATCAAAATATTCCAGGAATCCAAGAAGGAAGTAGAAGAAATGAAGTGTTTGAAGATCTGCAACATGAATTCTTGGTCAATGATGAAAGTAAGTGTTTGGTGCTTAGACTTGAAATAAACTTGTGTAATAAGTTCACTGGAAATCAATGATAGAAAACATGTTGATTTCAATAATTTTTCAATTAGAGGACAACTAAAAGTATGTTGAAGTATATAGTCTTTTATATCTAGAAATTGTCTCTTTTTGCTCAGGGTATATGAGTTTCAGGCATTAAAAATGTAATTTTGACTGGTGAAACTGAAAATCAACCCATTTCTGGTGGCTTGATGTCAAACCTTGTTGACACTTTGTCTCCTTCCCTAAAATAATAAATCACTGTACCTTGGTGTACTCTGAGTGGTGCCACATGGGGCTTTTCTGTTAGGTACACTTCAAGTGACAGAACTACTTTATTAGACATGTTGTAAATTTGTTATGATCACAAGTCTGTGAGTTCACAGCATGTAAACTTTTATCTGGGCTTGCTGTTAGGTTGGAATTGTAGTTTGCACAATCTTTCAGCCATTGCTGCCAGAGCAATTTGTGTGATGTGAATCAAATGTGGATTAAAAAAAAGATTTTGTGCACTAGCAATGAACTTAGCACTACAAAGAAAATATTTTAGAGCAGGAATTACAGCAATGACTTTCTTGATATCTGTGCTGACTTGTCTGCATGAAATTTGGCAGATTCTTCAGAAAATATGCAGATTCTTCAACTTCAAGTTCTAAATAAAGCAAGGGAAAGACAACTGGAAGAACTTAATGAAAAGCTAGAAAAAAGTGCACAGCAGATTAGGTATTTGAATCATCAGCTTTCTATGATCAAAGGTAAAATGTTTTGTGCTAATTCTTAGATTTATTAACATCTATTATATATATTAATTCTGAGATTGATTTAGAAAGTGTCTTTGAAAGTATTTATCATACTTATAAACTTGATTTGGGACTATATGTGGCTAACCCTCTTCCCCCAAACGTTGTTTTAAGTAAAAATCTCTGGATTGGTGCCTGACTACATAACTGTCTTAACATTTACTATATTCAAACCCACTGTTGTTTTCCAGAGTCCCCATGTGTCAGGCATCACAAATGTACAGAAAAGTGAGAAGTTTGCCAAAGTAATCTTTTAAACGTTGGGAAAAAAAATATAAAGTCAACACCAAAACACCCAGACCCCAATAGAAGAAGTGGACATCGATTAAAAACAAATTTTTTTTGATGCTGCCTGGTTTAACAGGCCATTTCACAGACTGTATGTAAAAAAAAAAAAAAAAAAAAATCTCTTTCAAAAATTCCAAAATCTATGATGGAGACTGATGATTGTCTTAGTTTCCCATTTCTTACAGGAACAGACAAAAAAAAAGTAGTAAACTTAGAGAATTAAGACTACAGTTTTTAGAAAGCAAAGGAAGCAAAGCAGAGAGTAAAGTTGAGCTGTGTCTTGGCTGTTCCAGAGGAACTCTTCCTTTCAACAGCATAAGGGAGGATGTGAGGTCCTCCTGCTGCCAGGATGGGGCTTGTACCTTCAGGACCCTGCTGGAAACAGTGTTGGAGTGCTCCCTGCTGCCAGGAGGAGACAGTGTTTGCTGGATGGAGACTGAATGTTTTTGTTCAGTCTTCTGTTGTTCACAGTAGAGACAGAGTGAATGGTTCTGTAGAGCAGGTACTGAACAGTTGTGTTGCAGGAAGTTCTGGGGTGGCTGGCCATGGTTCTCACACAATTATGTCCCTTTCTTCAGATGAAAAGGATGGTTTGGCTCTTAGTCTTCATGAGTCTCAGAAACTCTATCAGAATGGAAAGGAACGGGAAATGCATCTTGAAGGTCAAATCAAGGCCCTTGAAACTCAAATTCAGACTCTTACTACCAATGAGGAGCAGGTACTGTAAATATTTTTAGACTGTTTATTGTGGAAGACCTCTGTAGTTAAATGTGTGGTGCATTTGCATTAACCAGAAGTGCTAGTCTCTTGAAATGCTGGTCATGATCATTGCAAAAGCTAGATACATGATGGATGGATAGGATTCATTGGCTGAAAATAACTATGTATGAAAACACGGGCATTATCTGAGGACTTGTGGCAACTCTTGCACAGAAAAAATTAAACTGATGTACAGAATATTGGAGCAACAGTAAAATGTATGTAACTAGGAACTACTGTAATACTGTTCCTACAGATACTGAAGCAATCCAAAGTGGCAGAGGTGGCCATGGAAAGCATGCAGAAGCAGCTGTTAGAACTTCAGCGATCAGATGCCCTCCAGAGAGCCAGAGAACAACATGAGGCCATCATTTCTGCACTCAAGCAGAAGTATGAACAGCAAGTATTGTCATTAGAGCAGAAACTTGACACTACACAATCTGCACTCCGAGAGCAGGTGAGAAATTATTTGAGGATGCTGAGTACTGTACTGTACCATGTTTCCCAGACTGCATTTCTTGACCTACAATTCTAATAACTCCTTCTGGAAGCTGCTAAGAAAATAGAAAGTCTCAGCATTATGAGGCCTATGTGGTATGTTTTCATAAACATCTCCAGGCAGTTGCAAGTTCACATTGTGAATTTGTACAGAGCAGATGCAGAGGAGGAAGGAATTAATTGTCTTGGTTGCTCGCCTGAGCTTTCCTTCTGTGCAGTCTTTTTTTGAAGGAGTTCTGCAAATAACTCTGGGAAAGAAAAGGACTAATTAAGAAATAATGTGATATTCTTGCAAGAAAAAAACAAGAAAAACTTTCTATTGAACTGTCTGTTGCCATGATTTGATCTCAAAATGCTGAAGGATGAATAATCACTCAACAGTGACTTTATTTTAGAAGTAAGGATTATTTAGAAGTAGAGGAGGAGTAAATGGCCATCTTTAGATGGAGTTTGATATAGATTGTATCATATGGTTGTAGAGCTTGCTGAAATTATTCTACTTGATATGTCATAAGAATCCATTCCACTATTAGAAATAGTCAAGCAATGTATTCCAGGCAGGTCTTAATAAATTTTCCTCTAATTTTACATAAAGAAAATAAAATTTAGTTTCTGTAATTCTTGTCTCATAGATGGGTTGTATATTTGGAATGGTAACTGATACTTGCTTCTAAACAAAATGCACAGCTAAATTTTTGTCTGTTAATACCACAATAAAACTTATACAACTTTCTCTGTACTGTAAAATATATGATAGCATGTTTGGGGTATTTAAAGACATAGCTCCCGTTTTTTGAGAGAAGATAGAAAAGTCAAAAGATGTAAATAGAAGGCACTGTGCCTCCCAGGTCTGTGTAGGTAACTAAATAATGCTATATAAATGTCTCCTTTTTATATATATCCTGTGAAAAAGAAACTACAGTTCCTCTTTTACAGAGTATTGGCACTTGCTAGTTTGGCTTAAGCTCAGTTAAAATAAACTGACTTTATGTCTGGCTTGATATAACGTGAAGGCTTGGTTTTTATTTTTTTCTTTTTCTCCAATAGACTAAGTGTATATGATTAATTACAAGAGATAATCTAATGTGCTGAAAAGTAACTGCTCTAGGAAATATGAAATGATTCTCATCCCTGTGTGTTTATATATGAGTACAATTACTGCCTCCCAGTGAAAACTGAACTTTGGTGCTGTAAGAGATCACTTGTCAGCCAAGGATAGTGTTTGATCTGTGATTGATTTAACTGTCCTCTACCCCTTTAGGTATCAGATTGATTCTTTTTCTTCTTTATCCTGTATATATTGACTTTTTCTATATCTGAAGCTGTTCTGGATGGCTAAATGTTTGTAAAATGAGTAAAAATACTCTCTTCCTAGAAAGAGCTTTGCAAAAATTTAGGAGAGCATGTTAAACAACTTGAAAAATTGCTGGAAGAAACCAAGTGTGAAAAAACTGAAATAATAAATCGACTGACAAGAAGCTTAGAAGAAAGCCAAAAGCAATGTGCAAATTTATTGCAAACAGGTCAGCCTTTTACTCATACTATTACCTTTCCTTGCAGAAATGTCTTCAGTTTTTCTAAATATGTAATTGCATATTGATGTTTCTATGGAAGGGGAATCAACACCAAGCTAATTGTGTTCTAGACTGCTTCCTAGGCAGTGGAATAGTTAGACTTAACTTTAAGTCTAGACTAAGATGTAAAAACCAAATAAAAATAAAAGCAAACACTATCTCCAAACCCCAAACAACAGTGATTAAAGTGTTTTCATTTGTATTTTGTTCTGCATATGTGTAAACCTTGTTTCATAATAAACAGGGTTTGGATGCAAGTTACTTAATTTTGTATTGTGGTGCTTGACTTGAATTGCCCTTTTAAGTTCAAGTCTAAGTGAGAAGAATTGTTTTGGGACCTGGAGCCTGATTCTTGGAAACCTGTATCTTAGAAATAGATTGTGAAATGTGTTGCAATTTGTGTGTTTGACTTTTGCCTACCTTCACACATGGAAGCCTTTTGATAGTAATGTATTTAGTAGCTTTTAGAGAGCTCAAGGAAATAGAAACAGTAATGTCTATTGCCAGAAGCAACATTGCTATTTTTAATAGAGATCTTTCTTCAGATTGCAGAAACTTTCTTTCATATTTATGATTTGCTCTTTTTCTCCCTTTTCTTTCCTACAATAGGCTCAATGCAGGAGACAAATCAGTTACGGTTTCAATTGCAACAAGCTCAATCTGCACAGATAATAAGCAACAACATGAACAAGGCTTTGCAGGTTAATTTTAGTGCATATTTTATGTTTGAATAAAATGTTTTAATTTGATAGGGGGGCATTATAACTAAGATGTTGGTGGTTGAAACACTTTAAATTTTGGGGGGAAACAAGTACATCATCTTTGACTACTTCCTCTCCCAGTGTTTCATGTTGGTCCATTTTGCTACAAGGACAGCAGGAATACAGAAGAGCAAAAGAAATAATACTTCACAGATGGACTAGAACAAGAACAATAGGGAATATTTATTGTTTATTTTAATGAATTTGTAGTTCTAACTTATGCTTTCCTAGAGGTATCAGAAATGAAAAATGAAAGTATAAGTAAGGTAATGCTAGACAATTCAACTAAATACAGCTAAAAATAACTACATTCAGAAGGAAGAGCTCCATGTATGTTTTCTTTGGAAGAGTTATTATGGGCCTGATACTTGGGCTTGGAGTCTCTCTGGTCAGTGTAATTTTTTTCTGTGTCTTTCTTTCAGGAAGAATTAATGGAATTGAAAGAAGAAATAGCTTTATATGAATCTGCTGCTAAGCTTGGAGTATTTTTGAATGATGCAGGTGGAGAACGACATATGAGCCTGGGTGATTCCTATGTAGAACTGGGAATTAAAAAAATCACAGGGAAGAAGCCAAGATTCTGCAGGTATTAAGTGATTATTGTTGAAAGAAAAATTTTAAATCCTCAAGAAATTATTCAAGTTATGTCTAAAAAGAGGGTTCTACTCAATCAACACATAGGTTTTTTGATAGATATTTGAAATACTGCTTGTATTGCCAGATAATCTGAGAAACGGAAAAACTGTACTAGTGCCATAAATTGGTTGCCTAATTGCTATTAAATATATCTTCAGATTTTATAGGAACTATATTGCTGTTCCTTTAATTGTAGGAATTATATTCATGGATACTTTTTTTGCTCAAAGTGTCCACATAGTTGCTTAAAGCTAAATCTGTCTTTTCATCAACCTATTGAGTTGTTTCATAGCACTTCACATTGTGTGAGAATGAATCTTTTGAGGAAATAGCTGAATTAACAAGTTCTCTGTAAATTAATTGCAACTTGATGAAAAAGCTTTGATATTCATGTCTTCTTATGCTTTTTACTATTACATCTTGGACATCCTGGTATTTCTGGTGGCAATAGTTGCTCTTCTCTTTGCTACCACTGCCTTTCAGATAAATGTGTTTTGTCTTTTAAATACTGAACTGGTTATGTCTTTCCTGATAGTGCATTACAGAACAGAGACATGGATAAAGAACTCTCTAAAGATGAAATTATTGTAGAATTAAAAGCTGAGCTGGAACGTTTATTGAGCAGTAATAAAATGAAGAGAAACCAGATTACTCAACTACAAAATAGTCTTAAAGATTGCCAGGAGACACTAGAGGAATACAAGCAGTTGAAAGCAGAAAAAGCATCAAGAGATTCAGAGGTTTGTTCTTTTACACTTCTCTAAAAGTCAAGTGTTCTTGGTTTTTGGTGAACAAAAGCAACATTTAAACTTTTTATGAGAATAGAGAAAAAATATATGCATAGCAACTATGCTTTTGTATCTTAGGTTGAAAAGAAAACAATTGAATAGCAGAAACCTGGGCAGCATATGCATTATTGAGTCCTAAAATGATGACTTATATGCTTGAGAGTGCTTAGTGTCTGCACTACTTTTGTTAGAAGTAAATTTCACTGGAAAAATATGGTTTTCTTTAGCCAAAAGGACCTTGTAATTTCTCTAAGATAGTACCATTAGATTTTACAAACTGAACATTTAATAGATTTCCTTCAGATGGCCTTCACGGTGTAATTTGATCAACAAGGAATCTCCTTGATATTGCATCTCTCTTCGCCCATTATTGCCTTCCCTCTAGAGACTGGTCAGACTTGCAGTGTGTGTACATGGTGCCCTGGATGTGGGATAGGAATACAATGTATGTGAGAAGTGTGCTCTCTGTTGGATGACTGTTGTCATTCAGCTTGCAAACACAACACTGAGTGTGTGCTTCTCCAAAGCTTCATGATACTGAGTTTTAAGAATTCACCTATAATAGCTGTGATACTGTGATCTTGCAGTGCAATAATTTCCTGGTTTTTATATTTTTTTAAGTACAATTTTTATTCGGCAACTCTTAACGTTGTTGAGCACTAATTACTAATTAATTAAATCATTTATATCTTGAAAGATATTATCGTAATTTTATTTTTAGCCTGCCACAAATTTCAAGGATGCTTCTGATAATCTAAAGGAAGAAATTCTGAGGCTCAAAAAGGCTAATGAAGCTTTGCTGCAGGAAGTTGAGGTAAGACAGAGGTGCTGCTTTGCAGTACAGGAAAACAAATTCAGGAAAAAACCCCACCCTGTGCTAAAAGCCTGTGATTAAAGGTTCTTACAACCCCATATTACTTAACCCTTGTTTGTCCAGGCACATATTTCAACTATTGAGGAACTGAAGGAAAATGAGGAAAAACTGAAAAGCTTAAATCAAGACCTCTGTTGTCAGATGAGAAAGATGGTTGAGGATTTTGATCATGATAAGCAAGAAGCCATTGACAGGTAAGTCTGTTAACTTATCTTAGTTTAATTTGTGGATTTTCACCCTGCATACATAATCTTGTTCCAGCTACCAGGTACAAGAGGTCAATGTCAGAAAGATATTTTCTTACAGAAAAGTTGAACCTAGATAGTTGAAATCAGGTAGTTATTTTTCCTTTCTTGAAATTGTAGGTGTGAAAGAACTTACCAGCAACATCATGAGGACACCAAAGCACATTTTGAGAAAGAGCTGATGGAGAGATTTGCTGTGGAAAAGCAGCAGCTTGTTCAAACTTCTGAAGAGACAATTTTGCAGTTAAAGTAAGACTTACCATTATTTCCATTTTTACTGAAACTTTCATGTTTCCTGTCTGACCTTCTCTGCTAGTTACACTTATTTTAAAGCTGACTTGCTGTCCTGTGAGGCCAATTGATAATAAATAATCTGTCCTTTGAAGGGATAATATAGAGGAGCTGAACAAAGAGATTACTGCAGTGAAGGAATGTTACATTGGAGTTTGTCGGGAGAAGGACACCTTGGAAACTGCTTTAAGACAGAAATTTCAGCAAGAGCAGCAGCTGAAGGAAGAGAAGGTACAAATGGAAATGCCTATAAACCGTATAATTTCACACTGATTTCAAGATGTAATATTAATAAGTGTATTTAATTTTGTAAATGTTTTGTAAATGTGGAGCCTACTTGGAAGAGATGCAACTGTATCAGAAAGTTCATACATATAACTTACAGGTTTTTAAATTAAGCTGGTGTTGTGTCCTGGGCTTTAAAATTTTGTAGAAGTAACTCTTTCCAATAGCTGTTTGTTTTCATGTAGTGAACTTCCCTAATTCTGACTTCTGAGGATGCTTAGTCAGCAGTATGAGCTTTTACATTCATAAGGCATTTTCAAAAAACCCTGAATGATAATACAAGTTTACTTCTCCCTATATAAAACTGATCTAAAAAATACTGTTTTTTTTTAAAGTACTAATGAATTCACACTGATTTGATTAAAAACTTTGCTTTTCTGAAGATATCAGTGTGCAATGACCGAAGTAGATTAACTGTCTGGGTAAGCAAATACAGTAAAGAGGTTCAGCTCAGTATGAGGGGAATATAAAGATGCTTGATATAAAAACTTACTTTACAGCAATAGCCTATAATAATCTGATATAATTTTTTTGAGACTTGAATCTCTTGTCTAGGTGTCATCAGTAAGATCAGCACACAGCCTCTAGAGAGTTAATCATGCATCTCATGCATTCACATTGCTTTGTACCAGAGCAGTTGTTGTGCCTTGGAGAATACTTAATTTTTTTTTATTTTTTTTTTTTGTCTAGCTCAAGAAACAGCTACTAGAAGAAAAAGAAGTCTCTCTTAAACTTCTGAGGACTGAGCTTGAAGAGGAACACATCAGGTCTATGATAGCAGCAAAGAAGCGGTGGCTGGAAGAAAAAAACCAGCAGGTTCAAGAAGAAGTTGCATTAGCCAAAGTTCACTGGGAAAAGGAAGAAAAAGAGGTGAGAAACTTGGATCAGGGAATTTAACATTTTTGTTGTTGTTTTGCTGTTTATTTTCAGAAACAGAACTTTATGTGCTGTTATTCTGCCATTGAAAGTGGCTGTTAAGGATCTGTCATTTTAAAAGCCTTTGAAAAAGTCATAAGTATTATATATATTTTTAAACTCAAAACCTAGATCTTGTAAAGTAACAAACAGAATACCAGTTGTGACATTCAGGGTAACATGCTGGAGTTTTCCACCCTGATGCTTGAGTGAAGGTTGTGCTCTCTGTTGTTTTACTCAGCTATCATGTAGAAACCCCTTGTGTATTGTATCCCATAGAAGAAAACTCTGAGTCACCAAACTCTCCCCTCTCTGTGCATGGTTTTGTTCTTCTCCTGTCAAGGAGGATCACTGTTGTGAACAGTGTTTCATTTGCTAAACACCAGTGAAATCTGTTTAGATACTGGGGAGATTTTCTTAAAAAAATATTTTTTTCCTTAGAATAAAGAACAAGGCATTGCCAAATTAGAAAGAGAATGGCAAAGTAGGCTGGAAGAAGTGAGAAGAACTGTAGTTGAATGTAATGACTGCAGCTGCCAAACTGACCAAGTTACAGTTGTGGATGAAGTTTCAACTAAAGAGTTAGAAGGGACTGTTGAAGACCAGAGGCTGCAGACCCAGAAGGCTCTGAAAGAAAATACAGCCTCTGAAGAGGTCTTAAAAGAATTTGAATTGGAACTGGAAAATAAATACTCTAAAAATCTTGCCAGCCAGGTAACAATTGTTCTGTCTGCCTGGAGTCTGTAAAACTGCTGTGTCCAATGAAGTCACCTAAAAAAAGAAAGTGGACTCCTCCACTGACTTCCTCCTAAGTTTAGTACTGATATTTGCTGTATTAGAAATAAGAGTTCTTAAGAAAGTTCTGAAAAACCTGTAGCATGTGGTTTGTTTTTCACACTGTTAAACAAGGTTTGCAGTTCTGAACAGAACTGAGCAATGCTGACTTAGGTTTTATACCTTTTTGATAAAAATAAATTTAGTATTTTTACTTTTGGCATAATTTTTGCATTAAGACCTGCATGAAGTGCTGCTGGTCTGATCCTTTTAATTTCTGTAAACGTAGGCAATCCAAACTGAAGTCTGTTCTTGCACTGTTACATGAAAGTAATAATGAAAATGTATTCAGTGTACCTACCTACCTACTGAAGCAGGTTTTTTATCCATTTAAAGGTAGATGCAGCTTTAACCCAAGCTCATGCCAAGTGGCTGCAAGAGTACAAACTAAATCTAAAGATAGAACAAGAAAAATGGGAAAAGGAACACCAAAAGACTACAGCAAAGCAGGTAGCCCAAACTACTACTGTATGTGTGTTGATAAACAGTTAAATCTTCCAAATCCTATATATTACTGAGGAATGAATGCAGACACAGGCACAGGGAGTCACTAAGGAAAGATGTACTCTGCTCCACACCCATTTTTTTGCCTATATAGGTTTAATTTTTATTAAATACATTGCGAAGATCTCCAGTAGATCTATAATGACTCAGAGTTATATTTTGTATATCTATGAATGTGTGTATATATTTCTAATGACTGTGTTGAATATTTGGCAGTTAGCCCTGGTTCTCTCAGCTGCTGAGGAGAAATGGAAGAAAGATTATGAAGGTACAGAGAGATCTGGACTAAGAGTTAAAGAACTTGAAGAAAAGGTAATTTCTCTGAGGAGGGAACTGGAGCTAAAGAAAGAGGAAATCCCTGCAGCTGTCAAAGCAGAACTAGCAAAAGCCCGTGTACAGTGGAACAAAGAAAAGCAAGAAGAAATTCTGCAGATACAAGAGCAAAATGAGAGAGACTACCAATCCTTCTTAGATGATCATAGAAACAGAATTAAGGAGGTCCTTGCAACAGCAAAGGAGGACCTTGCAAAGCAGAAGAATGATCTCTCCATTCAGAAAGATGCAGAAATAAAGATGTTACTAGACCAAAAGCAGCGAGAATGGAAGGCTGAGGAAGCCAAGCGACTGCAGGATGAAATTAATCGGTATGAGGAGAAGACTCTGGTTGAGCTGGAGTATTTGTTGAGTGAAATTCATGAAGAACTGGTCAAGTGCACACAGAGTAAACATTATTGGAAGGACAAGTGTTTTGACTCTCCTGTACAATTAACCAGTCAAGGCAAAGACAAACTGAAGGCTTGTTTACAAAAGGCCTATAGGACCACAGTCTGCACAATTCTGGAAAAGAAAGAGCGAGAATGGAAGGAGGTAATACTTCTGTAAATTATAATTGCCAATCAGAAAAGGGATTTAAGCAATCAATCAGGCCTGCTTTCTCCCATGAAATATCCATGTAATTGTGAGAAATAGAAAATTCAACATTAGTGTTCATTGATAAGTGTATGCTAAAACTAAAAGGAGGCTAAATCTACCATTAGCAAGTGAAAAGGGAAAGGATGTAGCTTTGACATCTTCTTTGTCTTTAAAGAGGAGAAAGTCAGGTGAGGAATGTCATTTATGCAAAGACTTGTAAATTAAGGAGATTAATCCATCTGCTTAAGGTTGGGAGCCTGTTGAAGGCTCCTTGTCTCTTAGATGGGCTGTAATGACAGAACCCACCTCAGATTTTTGCAGAGCTGCAAAATCCAGTTTGTGGTGGTGATTGAATAGTGAATGTTGATCATGTTATGTTTTTTTTCCCTCCTCTTTATACAAATAAAGATGAAAACAGTAAATGCTTTTTGCAAATTGCCTGCAGTAGGTCAGTTTGTCAGTTAGTCAGTTCTGTCTTGGGAATAAGAGTCTTGCCTATTTTATTGTGCCTCTAGGAAATCTTTCTCAGTGTGCCTGCCCAAATGAGGAAAGATGTCTAACCCTCTATTAGAGGAGTTTTTGGCTAAGTCAAGTCGTGTTCCAAAGCCTTTGTTTCTGTTGTTTTAGCAGATTCCTCTTCTTGCAGTGCTTATGATTGTAATAAGTTTTCTGTTGTGGGGAGCATCCCACTGGAAATGCCATTGCTACTCAGCAGTTAGTAGCTGGGGAGTTATCTGAGAATAGGACAGAGAAAATGTCTTGTTTTTCAAGAGAAGGTGGGATGTTACAATTTCTTTAGTGCCAATATATTTCTGTTCAGCAAGTGGCCCTTAAATGTTTTCGTGTCACAAGTCCTATCCAAGATGGTAGAGAGAATCAGGAGCTTTTTTCCTGTACCTTTTGCACCTTCGGCAGTGGAAATGAAATGTCTCTTGGTAAGCTGTTCAATATGCCTTTGAATCTCAAAATGTTGGTTGGTTGAACCACCTTATCTAGTGAAATCTTTTTAATTTCCTAGTAATGTCTTTTCTCTTTAAAAAGCAAGTTACCTTCAGCTATTCAAAGACAGAGTATAGTTCTGCAATGTTAAGGACTGACATTTCCAAATAATACTCAAGATATTCAGGCACCGCTGTTGCAATGTTTTATGATAAATAAAACTTCTATACCATAGAATAGAGGTTTTCTTCATGATTTGACTTGTAATCCGTGATTCTACTGCAGTTTAAAAGTACCTGTGTTAAAATTACTAAAGTTATTTGGTGGCCAGGGTTGGTTGTCGTGTGAAATACTTTTTTTTGCAGTGTTGGGTTTTCAGGAAGTGTTTTACAATTGCAGAAATACGAAGAACTACTGAGTAATGCAAATAAAGAATCATACCCTTACCCACAACGTGGTGCAGAAAACACTGGGGATGTGGCAAGACCCCCTGTGTGCAATGCTGGACACCAAGCAGAAGCACAAAGGAGACTGAGAGGACAGACACCCTTGCAGGAAGCTGGAACAGACAAAGGTATTTGGTTTGATCTTAATCTGGCAGATTGAGTATCATCAAATTAAGCTTGTTAGTAGCAGTCTTTAATAGTCAATGTCCTATTGATGACTCCAGTGCAAAATTAATTAATTAGTAAATATTTGGGTGATAGAGGAAGATACAGTTCTTCTGACTGTAAGGTTTCTTAATATTGCATAAGCTAAGTTAAAGTCACAAACTGCGACAAATGGCACTGGTCTCCAGTTTATTGATTTAATACCAGGCTTTGAGGTTTCAAATGGCTTTTTAAAACCATTCTTCAGGAGGAAAGAAATAGCTGTCTCATCTGCTAGAGGTGTGTGTTTTCTTTGGGAGTTGTTAGCAGTAAAACCTTTGGAGTATATAACAATCCACATGCAGGGCACTGCTGGCCATGATATCCACAGCATGGTCTAAGCTATGTTTTGTAAATGGGCAATACTAGATTGGAGCTTCAAGATTGAATTATACTGCTTTCTCTTGGCATTACACAAGACAAGGAATTCTGCATTCATGTAAAAGATACTATTGTGTCAAGAACTTGCTTGACCTGGCATGGTAGTCTTCTCTGATTCTTTTTGTTAAGAATGTAGTTGAAAAAAGTGTGAATCGATGGGTGGCTTTTCTCTTTTTTTGTTGTTCCCCTTCTTCCCTTTCCCCCCACTCCCCGTGCCTAGTATGTACTTTAGCATTGTAGCTCTTCCCAAGGCTGTCACGTGTACTATGGCAAAACTGGAGACAGTGTAGATGGGAAAATGTTCATGGGAGGGACAGATGTCCCTGGGGCTTTCTGTTTAGTTTGAGCTCTTACGCAACTGAAAAATATAAAGCAGCAAAACCCAAGAGAGGTTTTGGCTCTGTGCCTGTAGTATGGCTTGAATTCCTTCAACACCAACTTAACAAATTCCTATTGACACAGAACAATACCAGCACTGCAGTGCTCCTGTCTCTAGAGCGCCCTGGCCTGGCTGTGGGGAGCAGCCATGGCTGTCCTGGAAGGAGCCCAGTCTTTGTGTATCCCTTAACCAGGCTCAGACACATGTGAGGCTTTCCAGCTGGGACAGTTTCCTTCAGCTGACTTCAAAAGACCTTGCTTGGCTGTTTTGTTTGGGGTTTTTTTTTGTTTTTTTTTTAAATACTAAAAAAAAATTTAAAAGCATTTAACCCCAAGTCTTTTTGCTGACTTAAGAACTCAGATCATCACTGATGCATTGAGGCTGTGAGGGATATATGAGTTAATAGATGCTGCTGCACCTTCTGGAACAGGTTACCAGCCTCTTGTGATTAGTTTAATTGGACTAAAATATTACACGCATTCCAGTGAGAAGAGGACTAAGTAGAACACTGAAAGTAGGTTGGGCTTGATTCTTTTTTTTTTTTTTTTTTTTGGTCCCATGTTGATGTATAACTTTTAGCAATTACTGTTGCAAGTCAGAAATGTACAAAAACGAACCTTGGGTCTCAGGAAGATTTGTGCTGCACACGCTGCTGCCAGGAGCTTGAAAAAAGAGAGGCTGTGTGCCAAGACTTGAAAACAGAGCTGGAGATAGCTCCATATTCCTTCACAGCAAGTTGAAGATGTTTGTGGGCTAAGTCAGAGCAAATCCAAGGTTAGGATTGTTAGTCACCTAAACACAGCTTTGATTCTCTCATCTGTTGGATCTTTTAATTTTCAGTGGATACTGGGGTTTTGGTTATTAACCTCATAAAAAACAAAAAAAACCCCTCACCACAATAAACCAACAAAACAACCAAGTTTTATGTTGTATCTTTCTGTCTCGAAGGCACAATTGCAAACCCACAAATTAATAATCTTTTTCAATGTTTGTCAAAACCACCCTTGTTATTTTTATCCTGTCCTTTCTCTCCAAGTACACTTGATACCTCAGTGTAGTATTAGTAATGGCATATGAAGGCTTTAAGCTTATTTAATTACTGTATGAGATTATTTTTACATTCAGATTTCATTGAAGTGTGTTGGGATGGATTCCTATCTGCTTGTTACTGCAACAGCTGTACTGCAACTAATGATGCTTTGGGACACTGAACTCTTGAACCAGAGGCAGCAGTTATTACATAAGCATCTCTTGAACTTAAATTTAGAGAAATGCAGTGAATTATGGTTCATTTTATTTTTAATAGAAAATGAGATGGTTCCAGGAGCTCTAATTGCAGAAAACTCTGAGACGAAGATTAAGCTGAAAGACCAGGGATCACCACCAAGGTATTTAAAAAACTAAACAAGATGATTTTTTATTTTGGGAAGATATAAGTTGCTTTTTTTGTGCAGTGTGATGTGTATGCATTTCAGGTCACTGTCAGGGGGAGGCATCTCAAAACCTTGTGCATCTTCTGACTCTGTGAAAGGTCTGGAAGAAATGCGTGCTCACTACATTAAAGCTTTGAGCAAGATTAAGTGTAAGTACTAAAGTCTTAGCTAAAAATTTAGTGGAGGAAAATAAATTGCTTTGTTGCTTCTTCCCTTCGGCCAGCTTGGACAAGAATCTGACAACCAAATCACAGGAGAAGTAAATTTTTCCGTCTTACAACAGTGACTATGAGAAATGTAATTGTCACCCTAAATTCAACGTGTAATTGTGCTGGGTGAAGCCTTGTTTTACCATCCTTGCTTTGTTGTACTGTAGTATGTTGTTTAAAGTGGTAAAGTGTATTTTGAGAACTGATCGTGTTTCCCCAGGAAAAAACCTACCTAGCATGCAGCTTGTCCTGAGAGAAAATCTGCTTTTCTCTTGTGCTGTATCCTGCCTTCTGGCTTAATCAGAACCTTCTGGCTGAGGAGAAAGGATTAAGTTTAGCAGCAGATCTTACCTGAGTACAGCAGGTCACCAAATTCCAGCTGTATGGCCATTGAAAAGCTTCTAGACACATTTTTTGCCAGCCAACGTTCCTCCCAAATCCCTGTGCTTGCTTAAGATGCAGAATCAGACAACTGAATTCATTTCTGATCCTTCATATTGACCTGTGGTTTGCCCTGGCATTCATCCAGTAGGCAACAACTGGCACGAGGATTTGGTGGAATGTTGGCAGGTAAATCTGTGTCCTTGCTGACTTGAAACAAGTCTACTAGGCAGTCCCAGTTTGTGGTGTTGGCTTTTTCCTCACTGTGAGGGAAAACTGGTTCTAATGGAGTGTGTTTGTAGGTGATATGCTTTGTTATATCCGTGAAAGTAAGGAACGAGCTGCTGAAATGATTAAAGTGGAGGTTTTAAGAGAGCGCCAAGAGACAGCACGGAAAATGCGCAAATACTACTTGACATGCCTTCAACAACTGCTCACTGATAATGGCAAACATGAAGGGTGAGTTCAAGTATGTTTGGAAATGACTGTTGGCTGTGCAAGAGGTGTTCAGATGTGTTACTCTGGAGTTTGTCCACCTTGGAGCAAACAGTGCCTGGCCTGAAGTCTTGCCAGGGTGTGGATGTTGGTGCCAGGTCACTGCAGAGCTGCCTGGCACACTGTTCTTTCAGTATTCTCTGGCTCTCAGTAACATTGCTTTGAAGTAAAATGTAGTGTTGAATTACCCCTAAAGTTGTTTTTGTTTTTTTTTTTCCCCATGCTCTGCAATTCTTGACAGAGCTGAGAAGAAAATAATGGATGCTGCCAGTAAACTTGCTACAATGGCTAAAGGACTGGAAACGCCTCTCCGGCACATTCCCCCACGCAAATCTGCCCGCCCAGGTGTGCTGGATTCCCTGGCCCTTCTCTTCTTAATCATACTGATTTCATGCATGTAGTAATGACAATGCTTTTCTTCCAGTATTAACATTATCTTCAATTATCTCTTTCCCTCCTCTCCTAGCTCTGCATATAAACTCTGATACTGGAGGTGAGTGCTCCAAAAGAGATTGTGTGCTTCGGACTAGGTCACACCATATGGACAGCAAATCATGTAGTGAAAGCTGTACTGAAAAATCCTCTGATAAAGTTGTCCAGAAGCGTGTTCCACGTGACTTGATACAGCAGTTTGATGCAACACAGACCAAAACTCGACATGTACTTTGTGAAACATTGGCTTCAGATGTTCAGAACAGGAATAATTCTCAAAATCTGGATGGTGCATCTAGAGGGGTTCTATCAGAATGTTATCCAAATGAAGATGGAAGAAGAGAAAAATATGGCCCCATTGCAAATATAGACAAAGGACCTTTGTGTGCTGCGAGTAATAGCAATGCTCCTCCCTCTGCTGGTCAGGGAGCACTACAAAATATGCAAGCACCCAGGGTTACAAATGGCCACACCAGCTCTGGGCCAACTCATCATATGCTTAACAGCAAGAATGGAAGAACAGGCTTGAAAGAGGATAAATGTATCCAATCACGTGGAAAATGGAAAACTAAGTCTAAGAGAACTCAGGAATTTAATTTTAAAGACACTCCAGAAAGAGATGAAGGAAGCAGCAGTGAATGGAGTTCTGGGAATGGAAGCTTGCATCTGGATTATGGTGAAATGCCTCTCTTGTATCCTCAACTAGAAGCCAATATTAATGTTCAAGCACAGACTGTAAACTGTGAAGAGTTTCCTCATGTCAGGTCATTTTCCTCTGCAGATGAAAATGTTACTTCTTGGAGAGACATTTCTAGTGGCAGTGGCAAGGTTCTCAGTACAAAAAGCAGCACAAAAGTTTACAGTAGAGGCCAGCAGATAACAAACCCAGAGCATACTTCATTCCTCAACTCCTGACAAATCAAATTCAGCTGTCTCACAGCTCAATGAAACACCAGATTCAAATGTAGGAAAATGCTGCAACAAATGCTTGGAGAAAAAATGGTGTGGGATCCCCAGTCTCGGCAAGATAGTTGTTTTTAATTAGCCCACTCTTTAACTTGAACTCATACCAGCAGTCCTTGTTTGAAGGAAAAAATTAACTTGATGTTTAAATAAAAGTGTGATGATTGAGGAAAATCTCTTCTACTGTGTCCATTTCATGATCAATGTTACGTGAACAAATTCCATCAAGTTACTTAAAATATTACTGCAGACTTTTGTTTACCTTTGTAATAACATTTTCATAAATGTTTATAGTGCCCTAGATACAAATATATTAAATAGAATCTATTTTTATATTTAATTTAGTGTGCAGTGTTTATCTAAAACCAAGCTACTGTAACTTGTGGTCATTTTTAAAATGGTTATCAAAATTCCTTTAGAGTGTAATGAGAGATGTTTTGGGGTTTGTTTGAAGTTTGTATTTTAATTGACTTTCCCATTTTGAAGGACCTCCTGTAACCCTCTGTTTGTGTTCCCACAACAAAAGTAAATATGCTTGCATTTTTTAAATTAAATTATCATAACAAAGCACATTTCAATTATTCTTCCCTTTGATATAGTAAAAAAAAGCTCATACTGGGTGTTAGAAAGATATCAGTTAGAATGACCATATTCTGTAGATTATTCTTAATTAGTATAGCTTATCAGGGTAAACTGAAGATGTAATTTGCCCTCCTGATGCTTAAAAATCTCCTATTTTAAAGGCCTGCTCACATTTTAAAGAGAATTGCAGAATGTATCTTTTTTCCTAGACCTTTCCCTTTCCTTGGGATGGCATTTCATTTCCAGTGATCCTGTGAGCAGAGGATTAAGCTGCTAGCTTACACAGGGGCTGATTAAATCACACCTGTTGCCATTAATACTTATGGGCCAGCAGTTCACAATCACAGTAATAGAGGAGTTCTAAGCAAAAAGGTTTTGTTTGCTATTGTTCTGTGATATTAGAAGAAAGTGTGACTGTTCTCTCAAGGATGTTCTGTATCCCTTTTGTATGTAACATACAACTGCTTATTTGTTAATGTTGCTTATTTGGTCTTTTGGAGTTGGACATCACAGTTCAGTTTGAGAATCTGTTGAGATTTAAGAGGGAAATAGTACAAAATCTGAAGACAAATGTTTAACTTCTTTTACAAAAATGTTCTGTATGTTTATATTCCAGGACAGCTGGGCAGGCAGAATATATTTCAGCTCTTGGTACGCAGGCCTGGGTTATGACTTGAGACTCTCACAGGCACTCTAACGAGAGACTTCTGAATTTCTTGGTGGCTTTCATGTTGCCCATAAATCCAACCCCACTTCCTCTTTAGTGAGGTGGGGTTTGTCATCGTCAGTGGGAGCAAACTGAGGCCATGAGAGACCGCTGGTGCCTAAACAAACATGGGCAGTGGTTAAGTTCAAGGGCCAAATTCCATGCTCTTAGCTGAGGAAATAGCTGTGGCCTTGTCTGCAAAGGAAAGTTTTTACTAGTTGTCCTTTAAGCCCCAAGTAGAGGCTTTTTTCCTTTTTTTTTTCCAATGATGAGTGGCTGTTTCTGGTTAGCTTAAACATTTCCCCAAATTCCACAAGGTAAAAAAGAAGCACATTTAGCCCTGTGCAAGAGGTACTTATACAAATGTTCGAGCCAATACATCAGATTGATTCAATCCTTGAGCAAGTTCAGAAGCTGACCCAGCTTACAGATTTGATCTGTAAAAGTAAACATCCAGCTATTCTGTAGGACATCCCTGACCATTCAGACAGCAGCTGAGGGCCCATCAACTCACTGTTGTGGACCAAAGGGAACTTTTCCAAATGTTCCATCTGAGGTGGGTTCAAGAGCTTCTCTGTAGTTGCTCCCCCAAATGCCACACTTAGAGACAATGTGCAAACTGCTTTTAAAATTCTAAAATGTAACTTTGCCACACATTTTATTTCTGTTCCCTTGTTCAGTGTTGTGTACATAACTCTTACTGTCAATTTCCACAGCTTTTAAGAAGTTCCCTGTGTTTAAAAGCTCAGTGGTTTCAATGCAGAGTGAAGTATTTACTGATCCTACATCTTTAATTTAGAAGCTGGGGCCATACTGATGAGGTGGGACCTTCCACTTGACTGACTGCTCTTGTCTTGCTGTTTCAGTTGTGTCATATTGGGCAACTTTAGGGACCAAAACTGAAATGTATGTGAGAATGTGAAGGTAGGTGAAGATTCAGTTGAATCCTTGCTCACCTAATGTTTACTATGTGTCTTGTTGCAATGACAACTCTAAAGAGCTCCAGAGCTTCCAAGGAGATTTTCAGTTTTGCTTAATGAAAATCAGCAGTAGAGGCCAAGGGGGAAGATCTACATTGCAACAGCAGCAACCATTCCCTGGTGAGTAAAGTTTAAGGTGCAAGATGATCCTTAGCCCAAGAATTGACAGCTCCTAGTCAAAAGTGTTCTCAGCCCTCCTCCTTCCACTTTCAGTAGGAAAGAATGAAGCAATTTACAGAGTAGCATAGGGGGTGGCAACTCCTGAAATTGGACAGCTGACACCAGTTGGAAAGGGGGATGTAATGCAATATGTGTGCTTGGACTTGGGTAGTTGAGCCAAGATTGTCGTAGAGGCACAAAATGAATCTCTTTCAGCCATATAACCTAGTGGGTGAAAATACATGACAGGCTGATTTTAAGAATGTACCTGCTTTATTCAAGAACTGATTATTTGCCGTTACATCTTTTTGATTCAGATGGTTCCTTTTTCAACACTGTGTTTATGCTGTAGCAGCCAGATCAAATTTTATTCTAGTAACATTGCAGTTTGGCAGTATTTAACTTTAACTTTCTTTAACAACACCCCCAAGGTCGCAGAATGCGGTGGTATTCTTTTCTTTGCTGTATTTTTGTTTCCTCTATTTTCTCTGGCTGGTTTATCCTGCAGGTATAATATAGGACAGCAAATGATACATAGAAAAAAATTTAGACCAAACAGTCTTGGTCCTACCATGCTTGATAGTTTTCTGTCTGGTCCAGCCAGTTTGTCTGTTCTGCAGAATTACTACAATCTTTGCAAAATATCAGATTGTGAAAGCCATTCAAGAGTGATATGATTAAATTCAAGTTCCCTAAGTATAATCTGTGGATATGCAACTAAGGAGATCTCTGGCTTGCTTGCATTCCCAGACTTTACTTACCACCTTGGCAATTCCATATCTCATTTGCCCCCTGCTTCCTACTTTACTTTATAGTTGGAACTTTCCTCTGAGGCTTGAAGGTCTCTACTGACTACTGTATCATGTCCCTTTTCCCATAAAATCTCAAGCTGGGTGCATTTCCCAGAAGCATTGAGATCCACAGTCACGTATATATATATTTCAGTCATTCATCCTTAAAATTTGCTGTCAAAGCTATTCTTCTGCTGTTGGAACTCTGTTCTCATGTTTCCCTTTGTTCTGTGGGAGTTGCTAAGATTTCCCATTGAAATTTATTTTTCTCTTTTGTGCAGATTCACTGTGCAGTCCTGTCTCCCACAGTGTGGATGGCTTACAATGGAGACGATGGCAACCTGGCAGTGATACAGGAGCACATTACTTGCAGCTGTAGTGAGATTTCACCCAGCATTCTGATGCAGAGTACTTTGCACTTCCAAATTAATCATGCTCCTCTCTTCTCTTGTTGCTTGGATAAATATTTCACTCTTGTGTAGACTTTGATGGTGATCTGTGTGAGAACCAAGGTTCTTCATTTCCTTCTTGTACATGCATACCTACCAAGCAAGCTTTTGAGCCCAATGCCTTTTTCACACTTGATAAAATGAGTCTGTTTCCATCATGTAGCATTGCTTCTTTGTAAATCTGAATACAAGTAAAGAAATCCATGTCTATTGCCAAATGTTCTGGCTGGATGCCATCCCTGGTGTTCTGGCTTCATCCAGATGACGAATGTTCCCTGTCAGCCTGCAGCCTAGTGAGAGGGGACAATGGTACAGAAATACTGTAATTATCTAATCAAATTTGCTCAGAATGTTAAGCAAATGCAATTCTTTAATACTCTGGCTTTACTATAGCTGTTAATTACCATGTGCAAATGCAATTTGTACAGCAAAACCGAGTAGAGGAAACATTCACTTGTAAGTTACTTTACTCCCCTCTAGTGGTCTCATACCACACGTACGTTTATGTAACACTTCATCATCATACGTTTAAGGACAGGGTTAGTATTCTGTAAAAACCAAGTCGCCTGGTAACTTCTCCTTCCTTCTGCTCCTCTTCTCTTTCTATAGAGAAACCTCTTCAGGGACTGGGATTCTTGCCAGTAAAGGTCTCCAAGTGAAATTGTTCTTTATACGTTGACTTTAATTAAAGGCCAAACTGTACCCCCATCTTTAAAACCTGTACATGCAGAAAAATCTCAAAGCTATGTAGTAAATATTTATTTTCTGTGCCCTCAAAAGTGTTCACAGGGGGTTTTGGTGTCAATGTCATAGTGACTTAAACTGTAGCCAGGGCTGTGGAAACAGCAGTAGAACCCAGTCCTAACTGGAGTGCTGCTCTGTGTGTGTTCTGTGGCATGTGCCAGGTTTTGGTGTGTGTCTAACAGTGTCTGGGCCTGTGGAAGCTGTGGCACATAAGGAGCCTGTCAGGTGACTGGGTTCCTCCTTTAAACTTGCCAGTTGGCCATTTTGTGTACTAAGCAGTTTTCACAAGGTGGAAAACAGACACAAATCTACAGGATCAGAATGGAAACAGCTTCTTTTCCTTTATATCCCTGGTTCGTTGCTCAAGTTACTGATGTTGTAATCCAGGTGTGCAGCACAAGCTAGTATTTAGCAACAGTTAATGGGTAAGTTCTTGTCTAACGTTTTCTTTGCTTCCTGGAGTCTGTATTTTAAACAGAAATGATTTGCTAATGTCCTTGGAGAAGATAGGGTAACTAGTAAGAGACTTATCATCTGTTTCTGCTTAGGCAGAGGGTATAAAGAAAAACGTAGATAGAGGATTCATTTTTCAGAAGTTAGTTGCTCTTTTCAAACTCCCCACTAGAAACATTTCCATTTTCTTCTAGAACTAATATTTTTAAGAAAATAAAGGGGAATAAATGAGTGTAGGGTCAATAAAGAAAATGTTGACAATTTGCCATTTGAAAAAATACAGTTCTTCTAAAATACTTCACAGAATTGTTTGTCTTCATATTAGTTATGGGAGAAAAATGGAAACATTCCAAGAATCAAAACATTTTAACACTCTTTGACTGGAACCTTTTGTTTTAAAATGAGTCTTGGTTTGTAAACTTTTGCAACTCTAAAAAGTCAAGATTGAAACGAAACAGTTTAGGAGATCCAAATCCGGCCTTTTTTCCACGTGATTTTTCTTTTGTGGAAAACTTAAGTATCTCATTTTCCTTCCAAACTGGAAGGAAACCAAATGTGAAAAGTAAAGTCCTTGGTAAAACGTAACTCCTGTCTTCCTGCAGTGCTCTTACAAGAGATTATTTGCCTGTGTCAGCGATGCATGCTACAATAACCAATAGCTGGGGAAGCTATTTC